ACTCAAGTTTGACAACAGTAATGAGGTTGGCCCAGGATAAGGCAGTGTTTCGTTCTGCTGTGCATAAGGTCACTATGGGTCAGTACCGACTCGATGATGGCACATAACAATAACAACATGTTCTCACAGCGTCATGCTATAATTATAGACTGGCTTCTTTTTTACTTTTCTGTCTCTATTACTTGACTATGAGGCCATGAAGGACAGAAAATGTGCTCTTAAGCCCCCGGTGCTCACTGTGGTACAGTGCCGACCCCTTGTTGCTCTTGTTAGTCGCTGTCGAGTTGATTCTGACTTGTAGCAGCCCATGTGTATGAAGCGCAATGCTCTGCAGGATCATGAAGGTTGTGATCTTTATGCAGACCACCAGGCCTACCTTCTGAAGCACCTCTGAGTGGGTCTGGCTAGTACTAGAGTGCTTACTTGTAGTGGGGCCCTGCTGGTTCATGTGGTAAACTGCAAAGCCGGTTTAGGCTATAAAGGCTGGCAGTTCCAACTCACCAGCTGCTCCTCAGAAACCCTGTACAGGGTCACTATGAGTTGGATTCCGACTCCATGGCACTTAGCAACAACAAGAGTGCTTAAAGAAGACTGTAGGAGAATTGATGCATTTGAATCATGGTGTTGGAGGAGAATATTAAAAGTACCATGGACTGCCAAAAGAACAAATAATCTGTGTTGGAAGAGGTACAGCCAGAATGCTTAGAAACCAGGATGGGCAGACTTCACCTCTGACTTCAGACACATTATCAGGACGTACCAGTCCCTGGAAAAACACACCAGACTTGGTTAAGTGGAGGGTCAGCAGTAAAGAATAAGAACCCCCCCAAAAATGGATTAGCACATTGGCAGCAACAGCGGCCTCGAGTGTAGCAACAACTGAGAGGTTGGCCCAGGACCGGGTAGTTTTGTTCTGTTGTGCATAAGGTCACTTTGAGTTGGTACTGACTTGATGGCACTTAACAACAACAAGAGTGCTTAACCATTTGTACAACCCAGGGAGTCTTGTCAACTCTTTGTTGTTGTTGTTGTTATTATGTGCCCTTGAATCATTTCTGACTCATTGCGACCCTGTATAGGATTACTGAGGAGCGGCTGGTGAGTTTGAACCTCTGACCTCGTGGTTCAAACCAACCTTGAGGTTGAGTGCCTATCCTATGGTGCCACACGTTTGCTAAATGCAGGTTATCTCTCTAGGAAACTGTTGAGATGATGAACAAATGTTTACAGAATTCAATAAATGCACCAATACAAAAATACGAATCCATGTGAGTCAATAAAAATGCTTAAGATTGAACTATGTTTAAACAAAATCGAGGTTAAATGTTTAAAAACTGGCTTATATATACTTACAGATTTGCCTTCTGCCCAAATCACTGCTCCAACTCCAGTTTTATGATCCTCTGAAAGATAAATTGCATTTAACATAGTAAAGAGGCACATCAAACAGCTTCTGAAATATGTTTTTTCCAAAAATAAATAAAATTATAGAAAAGCATAAAAATAAACGTTTTTAATGTAGACTATGAGCATAAGGAAGGAGCTCTGGTAGCACAGTGGTTATGAATTGGGCTGAGAACTTCTAGTTCAGCAGTTTGAAACTACCAGCTGTTTCGTGGAGAAAGATGAGGTTTTCTGCTCCCGTAAAGATTTACAGCCTTGGAAACCCTGTACAGGGTTGCTGTGAGTCAGAACGGACTCCACAGTACATGACAACAACAACAACAACAACAAATAAGCATAAGGTGGTAAGTAGGCGGAGTTATGACAGTTCCAGCCACACAAACTATCTGCCTGTTAAATCACTAAGATGGGAATACACTAACGCTGTTGCTTTTTTGAGTAAAATAGTTTTCTAGTAGTGAAATGGTGCAACTTTTTATGCAATTGCTTTCAAATCATAGTATTAAATTTAAAAGCCGTATTTAAGTTGTGTTTGTTTCATTTTGCTTATGTAAAATCTCAAAAGATCCACGTGAAGGGCAATATTTGTTGATGGATTTTTCTCTGGCCATCATTTCCTAGAGAACTTACTGTTACACCCAGATGTTTACATATTGAAAGTTTTACTTATTGTAATAAAAACAAAAACAAAAGTGTCTCAATTGTATGACGCATGTACACGAAAGAACTAAACGGTGACCTTATGGTAGCAGAGTTTATACTGTGTTTTCTTTTTTTAATGACATTTTGGTTTATAATAACTTGGAAGTTTTTGTTGTTTCTTAAGATCGCAACCAATAGAATTCATACATTTCATATTAAGATGTAAGAAGGCTATAGAAAAGGTGCTTCAAAATTTCCAGCAGGTAGCTGCAAGTGCAGAGCTTCTAGTTTTAGATTCACTTACACAACAATTTGCTCTTTTCAAATCTCAAAATGCTACTGTGGAAAATAAGATTTTATCATCTACATTCTATCCTATTTTCCCCTCAAAGTAAGCTTGTGCATACCATATTTTTAAAGGTCTTTAAAAAGTCTGACAAAGTCTCTTATTTGACAATTGTGCTTAACAACTGCAGCATTACCCATGTTGCAAGCACATATTATAAAGTGTTTATTTTTAGTTAATACAGTGTGCAAAGACAAAATTGATGGGATTCTAAATGAAAATTTAAAGCCCTTAATACCTCATTTAAGTTCTCAGTGTTCTGTTTAGTACATATATATATACCCAGTTAAATTTTTATAGCATGTTTATTTGTAAGTAAAATAAAATATTGTTGCTGTTTCTACTTGAGAAAAAGGAGGGAGAAAAAAAAGATGGCAATGACCAGTCAGGTCCCTTCAAAGCTGTAAGGAGAACGGAATGTAACTTTATTGATTTTCTAACAAATTAGTTTCTAAATCACTGCTCTAATAGATGTGATATCAATTAAAATAGTAGTTTCTGAACTAACGGATTTAGTGTAACCATTCACAAAAATATAATTTGTTATCTAGTATTTTGTACACTCTAGTCATGAAAAGGAGTCCTGGTGTGGTGTTGTGGGTTAATGCACCAGACTGCAAAGCCGTTTGAACTGCAAGGTCAGCAGTTCAAGCTCACCAGCTGTTCCTAGGAAACCCTATA